GGATAGATGGATGAGTGGATGAGTGGATGGATGGATGAGTGGATGAGTGGATGGATGGATGAGTTGATGGATGGATGAGTGGAAGGAATGGTTTAAATGAATGAATGAATCTAATTTAATTTAATTTCCAGGCTTAAAAAAATTCATACTTTAAGACAATCATCTCTTCTTTTAATCAAAGATTACGCTTTAAATACTTTCAAATTGTCAGAGAGAATGACTCAGATTTTTGCGTGTTTTTAATTACAGTAAGATTGTTGCGTGACTGGATCAAGGCCTCCAACGACAAGAACGCAGAAATCTGGATTGAAGTCAAACGTATCGGAGACTTACAAGACCAAATTGTCAAGACCCTTGATCCTGGAATAATCAAAGAATTCAATATAAAAGTCGACAATATAAGAGTAAATATTTAAACGAAGGATGGTAGCTAGGAAAGAAATATTATTAATGTATATGAAATTGACCTATTTCACTATGACGTCACATCAAAACAATCTATCATTTAAACGCAAAGGATCATGGTCGTCGGAGGGGGTAATATCAACGCAATTCACCGAAAATTGTTCTAAAATCCGTATCAATCCACGAAGAGAAGTAGGATAGCCAGCAAACGCTCAGAATATTTTAAAAAAATTTTTAAATTATATCTGAAAACCAGGCCATTTTAGATTAAACTGTTTCGCTAGGAGCAAATTTTGTTGAATTTTCTATTGGATTTGGCGATTCTATCCCCCACATAAACAAGCAGTGACGTCATAGTGAAATAGGGTAACTCTAAATCTGACATTACTAATACAAGAGTAACTAGCGTTTTCCACGGAGGACGTCACATTTGTGCATTATAGGATTGAAATGCGGACTCGCCAAGCCCAGCTCCCATGCTAACATGCTGCAGCAATGTTTTATAGTCTTGTTGTTTCCAATTCATGGAGGAATTATTGTTTTTTGACTGATATTCCTGATATTCCTGAAGCCTTTATTTGCAATGTTTGCCCGCATTTCTATCCCACAAGACTTCTATTTTGCGATTTCTAATTTTAGTAACCATGAAAAATGCTATTGACCTCTTTAGATGTTTTCCAATGATTTTAGATCACGTGTCATTCCCTAGAGTATTATTTCTTTGTTTACTGGTTGTGCACAAGAAGAAACATGAATATGGATGCAACTTTGAAAAAGAATATTATTTTTTGGGAATGACACTTGTTCTGAAATGGGAAAACATTACGTCCAAAGTAACTGGAAAGGAAGTATTTTAATTTGTTAATCTACATTTTTTGTTTGTTTTACAGAAACAGGTCAAAGCTGGAAACCAATCGGTCATAAATATGTCGTACCAGGAATTTGATAACTTGTTTCAGTCTTCGTTCACGACTGTGGGAGATACAGCACTACGCCTGGCTGGTATAACGGGCTTGATTGGTACTAAAATCGCTGCATTTGGATTCAAGCATTATAAACTAGCCAAGGTACGTACATGCAGCTGATTAACCATTAATTAATTTTTCATCCCTCCATCGATCCCTCCCTCCATCGATCCCTCCCTCCATCGATCCCTCCCTCCCTCGATCACTCCATCCATCCATCCCTCC